CGTGGCCTCCTCCTTCCATTTTCACCACTCCCCAAACCATTCACACCATCAAACTGTCCTTAGACCTTGTGCTACAACGAAGAGGAAGATAAGAGGGCCTAAACGTTCATACAATTCAAGTTTGAGTTGTTGGAATGTTTAGGTGTTTCTTTGATTTCAATGTTTAATTTCAATACTCTTTGTTTTGTACGAATGAGGAATGGAAGAGAAGAGGGCCTAAACGTTCATACAATTCAAGTTTGAGTTGTTGGAATGTTTAGGTGTTTCTTTGATTCTCTTTGTTTTGTATCATGAGGAACTAAACCCCCCCTTGGCTAGGGGGGGATTCGAAATATATGTTTATGCTTGCATTTTGATTTGATTACTTCTAATTGCGTTTCATAAGTTGTGGATTCAATTTGTTTAACTATTTGATTGATAACTTATTTATGTATGTTTATTGAGAGTGCACACTTAATTTTCATGCATGAATATGACGCTAGAATATAAGTGAGTTTCACGTAATAGTTATGAACTTATATTCACAAGTAGTGGAGGTTGCTTATAAACAATCGCGTTAAACAAATTCTTGGCATAAGTTTCATGCAATCATAGTAACGAATGCCTCGTCAACACTTATAGTTTTCATGATGCTTAATGATTCTTGCTTGTATCTCTATTATGCAATTCATGTAGGGAACTTGTGAGGAATGCTTTGGGTTGTCGTATGCAATCATCCAATTCATTAACTTAAGGAAAACTTGACGGTTAATTTAAGCGGACCTAATTAACCCGGGGCGTTGAGAATTCATGGTTTATTGAAATGCAATTGGAAATCTTTTTATTATGCAAGTGTAACATGTGTGGAGATGAACCCCTTAGCTAATCCATCCATCATCTTGTTTTCAAGGAATTCGTTTTACAATCTGCCTAGTTTGTTACTTTGTTTTGTTATTTCAATTTTCGTCAAAACAAAACCCCCATTTACTTTCTTGTTCTATAGTGTTTAGAATCTGTTTAATTTGTGTTTTAAAGTGTTTTGAATCAACCAATAATCTTAAATTCGTCCAAATTTGTGTTTAAGGTCAGAAACTGCCTAGTTAGTGTTTTTAGGCAGTTTTGAGTCTTTTGAACTTGTTTTGAGTCCTTTGAGTCTTTGTATTGTCCAAATTAGTTAGAAAGTGTCTTAGTTTGTGTTTATAAGTGTTTTGATTCAATTTGTTACACAAATTCGTCCAAATTCACCAAAGTGCTCAAAACTGCCCAGAAAGTGATTTTAAGGCAGTTTTGAGTGTTTTGGGTGATGTTTGAGTCTTTTGGTTTGTTTTAGTGTTTTAAGCGTTTAGTTTCGCATTCTTTGAGTTTAGTTTAGTGTTTTAAACTTTATTTTACGTTTTTGAGTCAGTTTCCAAGTGATTTGCAATCCCTCCTAATCCCCGGTTAAGAACGATCCCTACTTATATCTATACTACAATTGTCAAAAAGAGGGTTTAATTTGTGTGCGTATAAATCTCGCATCATAGCCTCTTTGTGATGTTTTTGAGTTAAATTGGTTGCATTTTACCTTATTTTGTGTTAGTGTGCAATTACATGTACTTTAAGATCAATTTGAAGGCAAAAGAAGTGAAAACATGTCATTTTTTGGGTTGACCCTTATTCAAACATGGAAAGAAGTTTAGTGGCCTGTTTTGAAGCCCAAATAAAGAATCCAAGATGAATTTGGCTTGTTAGAAGATCAAGAGCAGAATGGGAAAGGAATTGGAATATCTAGCCTGATTTGGAGGAGCCAAATAAGGAAAAACGTTCAAAACTTTGGCTTAATGGTTGAGATCACCTTGCAATCAGCTACAACCCATTTAGCCTATAAATACTAGGGTTTTTGATCATTTTCTCACAAGCCCCCTTGGGGGTCGCCTAAAGCTCTCTCTCTTCTCTTTCTTTGGCCTTTCTTCCATAAACAAAACCCTATTTTCCTTCACCATCCGATGCCATCAAACAAACCATGCTGTTCTTGAAGGATTTCCATATCAGAATTGCTTCAAGGGGGTTTCTTTTATGAACTTTAATTTCATTCATGTTGTTCTTTATATTTATATATTTTGTAATCATGTTGTGTAATTAAGTTCATAGTTGGGGGAATTCGATGTAGCCTTGCAAACCTACTCTATGTTATTAAGTTAAAGTATTCAAATTACCAATCTGTGTTCTTGTTTTATTCACTGATTTTATAGTATAATTTGTTTGTTAATCTTAATGTTTGATCACCATTAGGGTTGCTTATGAATTATTTGATCAAGGTTATAGTACACATCATGCTTAATTTTGGTAGACTTGTGACTGAATGAAGAAACTGCTATGCATACATCCTGCCATGTGATTTCTTTGGTTCTTGGAAGTTTTCTTGTTCTTAATGGATTCTTATTCGATAATCTAAGTTGAACATCACAACTAGGTTGCAGATTAGGAGTACTTGATCACAAACACACATCAAATGGATGATCATAAATGAGTAAAACGAACCCTAGTTGCAGATTGGAAAGTTGAATGCGTTTTGACCTAAGTTTCATGGAATTGGCTTGTAATGGTGAAATCAGTATCCCTAGTTCCATTCCCCTCATTTCTGAATCATTCTATTATTCATATTAACATTCTCTTGCATTTTATGTTACTTTATTTTTCAAATCAAAATCCAAACTCAATTTGTTAGTTTCGTTGTTTAGTTATGGTTCTCTCATAAAGCTAGTAATTTGTAGATGTCTAATCAGTCTCTGTGGTTTGACACCCTTACTTGTGCCACTATACTATCCTTATATTTGCACTTGAAAGCAACACAACATCCTTCCCACTGGGCCACTGGTTGTGATTCATTTTCTGAGCATATTAATGAACGGAAAATTCTGCCACTTAGTACTACGGTTAAGTAGTATTCCTCTTCACTTATAAGTGACATGTCTTAGATTCGAATCTCGCCAAAGGTGAATTTGAATTATATTATTGCTAGACTGTTAGGAGACTCCTATTCCACTGTAGATAATATCGTTTGTTCAAAAAAAAAAAATGAAATGAAATTTCCATTAGAAAAATATAATATTGCAATTCACTCTTGCAGTGCAAATGCATTTTCTGTTTAAGAAAAAAAAAAAAAAGAGCTTTAATGAAAAGAGCTTATCTAAACTTTTTATTAACAAAAAACCATCCACTAACTTTATTTAATAAAAATGGCTTAAATTTTAACAAAAAAAAAAAGACAAAAGTTTAACATAATAATTAAAAAAACAAAAAATAAAAAACAAAACATAATGCGCACATCACATTACTCGGTCACACTTACTTTCCCTCACTCTCTCTTTCTCCCTCCACCGTTATTAGCTCATTTCTCTCTTTCCCCTCTTTCACATATTCCTATCAAATTTCTCTCTTCTCTCACCTCATCCATTCACATCAACTTTTTTTTTTTTTTCTCTCATCTCTCATATCATTCTACTCTCACTTCATAAATATTACAATTTTTACTTTTTATTTTATTGTATGTTTATTTGACCATTGTCTCATAATTTTTTTTGGAACAAACTAAGTAATAATATTACAACATAAAAGATAAAGAATTTTTTTCATTTTTTTAGTTTGATAAACAATGCTTATTTTAATTTCGAAATAGTGATTTTACCTTTAGTTTGGACAATTTTTTAAGTTTGTGTCATGTCATGTTAACACTAGTTATTTTTACAACTGAACATTGATTATTTCTAGAATCGAACACTGGTTATATTTAGAACTTAACATTAACTGTTTCTCAAACCAAATAATGACTAACTCTTAAACCGAACACTAGTACTATCACTATTTCTTAAAATGAACACTGATTATTTCGTAAACTGAATACTGACTATTTCTTAAACTAAACAATAATACTATCACTATTTCATAGACTAAACATTGACTATTTCTTAAACCGAACACTATTACTATCACTAATTCATAAACTAGTACTATCACCATTTTGTAAATTAAACACTAACTATTTCTTAAACCAAACACTTATACTTATGTAAATAAAACACTAACTATTTCTTAAACCGAACACTAGTATTATCACTTTTTCTTAAACTGAACACTAATATTATCACTATTTCGTAAACTGAACATTGACTATTTCTTAAATTAAACACTAATACTAATATTATCACTATTTCGTAAACTAAACACTGACTATTTCTTAAATTAAACACTAATATTATCACTATTTCGTAAACTAAACACTGACTATTTCTTAAACTGAACACTAGTACTATCCCTATTTCATTAACCATGGCAGAGAAAACAATGGACAACAGACGAAGCTCAACTAGAAAATGCACACTAGCATCTATGGTTTTGGGGGCCAAGAAATTAGTGGCCAATTGTTTGAAAAATAAACTTGGAAAATGCATGTCATCAACATTAATTAGATACAAATGATTGGTTGTGTTTTTTGATTAGTTGTTATACTCATTAATGGATGAGTCATGAACATTCTAACAATGAATAGCAAACCCAAATAATTATTCTATACATGAAAATGTTGTCAAAAGTATTAAAATGGTCGAATCTCTTTAGGAAGTGTCATCCAAAGCAATTAGTTATTTAAGTCTGAAGAGAGTAGGTCTTTCTCTAATTTTAGGAAAGATGAGAGTCTATTCCATTCTCACAAGAAGTTCAAATAGGAAATCATCAGTTAAGATTATTATGGGAGATAGTTTATTATATTTTTGTCGAAAATGACAAGAACGAGAACATGAGGAGAGTATTGAAAGTACTAACTATCATCATTAAAGCTCCTAAACATGAAATAAAGAGAGAGGAAGGGGCACGTGGGGCTATGAGGCTAGGATTTGAAGCTACTAAAGAAAATAATAATAAAAAATGTGGGCTGCTGCAATATATCTTGTTAGGTTATTTATTTATATACATTTTTTTGTTTTTATCATTAAATAAAATTATACGGTGATTTTTGGTTAAAATGCAAACTGTTAAAGCGCTAAAAGAAAGGAAAGCGCCTCCTGTTTTAGAAGTCGCGTCATCATCGGAGCGTCCAAATCCAATCACAACCGTCCATTAGAAACTTCAGAATCTCCACCGGGAGCCGCAATCCGGTGGGAAACCCTAGCTTCCTAGTTGAATCAAAATTCAAAAACACGCCCACCTCTTTAGCTTTGACAGTCGCGAGTCCTCAGATATTAGGGTTAGGGCTTCAGATTTGGGAAGAAGAACATAGGCAAGAGGGAGAGGCAAAAGGCCAAGCTTGATCGGGACAAAGTGAGCGAAGAAGAATGAGAATTAACTAATCAAAACCCTTCGAAATCTGCTGCCGAACAGAGCAGCAGCGACGACGATGAGGCCAACGAAGATATCATCCTCGAAATCGTCGAGAAAACTTTGTTAATGCGGGCGGCGAAGTTGGCACCTGATAACAATGCCGCCGTGTCGGGCGAGCCGAGTGGTAGTTTGGTTAAACTCCCATCTTCGTCTTCTTCGTAGGAAGCTGAAGTTGCGGCTGCAGATTTGGAGACTAAGAAGGTAAGGAGGAAGGAGAAGAAGAAGAATGTTAAGAAGATGAAGATTGAAGATCAAGCTGTGAGTGATTTTCGTCTTTTTCTCTATTTGTTTCTAGGAAAACTTGATTGTTTGAGGTATTCCATAATATTCTTGATCGGCATTATTCTTAATTATTTTCACTATACAATTTTGTTAATTGTGATTAGAGAAATAATGGGATTGAATTGGAGAGTTTGATTTTAAACCTGAAAAGGTGCTTTTAGACTTTATTGCTTAATTTTGTTTTCGGTTTCGTCTCATTTTCTGGCGTAAACAGATTAATCTTTGCTTGAGAAGAGGATGAAAGAGCTGTTTACGTATGACTGTTTTGCATCCCGTTATTTGTTTAGGTTGTTGCAAAAGAGGAAGAGAAGATAGAGGAAGCTAATGCTGTAGATTTGGCTGAGGCAAAGCAACCGAAAAATGTTGAGTTTACCGACAATGTTGTGCTGCGGAAACTTTTTGTGAGTTCAAATGTTTGCTTTGAAATGCCCTTTTGAAAATGAAAATCTATATAAAGACCTTAGAATGGTGCCTATCTTATTTCTATTATATCAGCGGGGACCAAGGTATTTTGATCCTCCAGATAGTAGCTGGGGAGCATGCTTTAACTGTGGAGAAGAAGGTCATGCGGCAGTGAATTGTACCGTAGCTAAGCGAAAGAAGCCGTGCTTTGTTTGTGGCAGTTTGGAGCACAATGCAAAACACTGCAGAAAAGTTAGTTGGAAGAGAAACACAATTTTAAGTTGACTCTTTTACTTTCTGAAAATAATCGTCAAAATAATATGGAGAATTAGTTGAATTGACCCCATTCTCTAAGTCTAAATTAGTACATGTTTATTAGTCCGGAGGGTGGTGGGGCTTCAGCCACTTGTATTATGTTGACATGCAAGATTTAAATTGATTCCTTCTTTTACTTGTTTTTCGCTTTTCTGGAAGGATTGAGAACTTTCTTTTGGCAATTAATAGGATTTCTTCCCTTGATTTCTAAGAAGGATTAAGTGATTGTTATTTTAAAAGTAGGTTGTAGGTACACATACTCTCTGCTATTTCCAAGTCATGTTTGATTAGAAAGATCCATAAATAATAAAATAGGGTTCTCCTGTTTTCTTAATGTTAGATAATGTTGAGATAGTGCCAGTCCAAATCTCATGAGTTGTTCACCAGTTTCTGCATGCCAAGTTCTTTTGTGTCATTTTATAAAGATTGTTCAATATTTCACCTGTTTTTCTTCTTAGTTTGCCCTGTTCTCATTCAATGCTCTATCAGAGGGTTCTTATGCATCCTTTATTTTTATGGGGCCTCTTATGGTACCTGATTTAAATCTCGATAGGGACAAGATTGCTTTATCTGCAAAAAAAGGTGGACATCACGCTAAAGACTGTCCAGAAAAGAAGAATGGTGGCTTATTGAAATCCCAAATATGTCTAAAATGTGGAGATTCTGGACATGATATGTTCTCATGCAGGAATGATTATTCAACTAATGATCTTAAGGTATCGTGAGATTTCTAAGAGTATGTTCATATGATTTATGATATGATATTGATAATAATTATATTGTTAAGCATTATGTTCAAGGGTGGTTTCTATATTTCTTTTCATGAATCAGGAAATCCAATGCTACGTCTGCAAGAGATTTGGTTATTTATGTTGTGTCAAGTATGTTGACACTAGTCCATGGGAAGTTTCCTATTACAAATGTGGTTCAATGGGACATACTAGTATGGTAAGTCTTGTTAAATGTTTCAAATGTTCTTTAAACTGTTTTTGCGTTTTATCTTTGTGGTTGGATGGAGAGGTGCATTAGAGGCTGCATAGATGTAAACAAGGCCCATTGTCTTGGAAGCTGCATATATATGCAAGCAAGGTTTATCGTTTTGCAATAGGGATATATTGTCGAACTCATAAACATAGTACTAAATTGTTCCCTTGACTTATCTAATGAATGAGAAGTACATGCTCATGTAAGGACCTTTTTCAAAGAAAATTTTTAGATGAATGCACTTGATTTGTGCTGTGAATTGGTTTCACTGATTTTCATAAATATGAAAAACATCATATCATAATTTTTATTTGTTTAGGCAGTGATGTGATTTCAACAGTATGCTTTAGAAGACGATGCTTGTTGTTTTAAAAGCCTTTTGTTTATTGATGTATTCTAGAAGAAACTAAGTTTTGTTCCTGGTCTTTAAAATTTTTTGTTTTTCATCTTCTTTTTTCTATCCATTTTTACTTCTTTGATTTGTCTTTCTATTGTTAAAACTGGATATGCAATGCCTATGCATCAAATACGCTCTTTATTTTCATACGTATATCTCAGTCTGATGTTTAGTTTTTTTATTACTCATGCTTGAAAAGTTGGTGAATCTAAATTTTATCTACAATAGGAATTATAATGTATTCTTATGGTTATTTTATTTCATGCTAATTGCTTCAAGAATAGATTAAATCAGATCATGTATTAGTTTGTGTTTTTTCATTTGACAATTCTTTACATGCACCAATCTCATTGAACATATTTGTCAATTATATCTGGTAATTTCTTGGGAGATGTTATGTTACACATTCATATTCTGTTATTAAAAATTGTAGTTTCCTGCCTATGTCCAGAGGAGGGTTCACATTCTATTTTTCTGCTTCCATTTCACTGAAACGCCCTTCCTTTTTTTACTTTTGTCTAAGAAAGGGGATTCTGTACATGCAGGCATGTGTAAGCTTACGTGATGAGGAAACCACTGGTTTTGGAACACCTCGGTTATGCTACAAGTGTGGTGAAGGTGGTCATATTGCTCGTGAATGCGCAAGTTTGGTCAATGTAATTCTCAGTGTACACTTCCCAGAATTAGTTTTTAGTGCGATTTTCTTCACTGTCGATTGGTAGTGTTAGTTTACTCGTGAAAAAACTAACTGGTGTGTTTTATGAAACTTGTAGGTTCACAAAAAATTTGGGGAATTACCTAATTTTTCTACTCCAGTTTTGAAACGTATAAGGAAATGAGAGACTACACGGGATTCAAGTCTACTCCTCATGACCTAAATAAGGCCCATGAAAGGAAATAGACCCAATTTGAAGAAAGAGTTTTTACAACACTATAAAAGGCAAAACATAGAGGTGGTTGGATAATGGATGATCCAGGGGACTTTTCCCCTAGAAAAGGCAAAAAGAACAATTGGAAGTTTCCGGCAACACCATCTAGTTGGGGTCGTATGGTTCCTAGTTTGACTGCAGGTGGTCATGCTTCAAGTTCTAGATCCTCTAAAAGATTTGGAATGACTCCGGAAGCCCAATCTCACAAGGGTCGTCAAAGTCTTTTCAGCACAGATATTCTGCATCGAGGTTTAACAACTCTAACGATGGTGGATTTAGAAGAAATTATGATTGGTCAGGCGATGAATATAATGGGCTTTACTAAACCCAATGGAAGGAAGCGGCCACAAAAGGGTTCAAGTTCCATTTGTGAGTCCATAAGCCCTTTCCTGTTGTTGTAAGTATTTTCTTTTTCCTTTCCAGTGATAATGATTATTCTTCATTTCCCTAGATGTTGAGAAGTATTGTATGCTTTGGTCAAATTTTAAAAAAATTTCTAAGTTTTTTTTAATGCTCTTTATAAAATTTTGAGTTTTTTTTTAATGCTCTTTAAAATGTACTGACCACATACCTCTTTATACACGTTTATTTATTTTTCATAGTTTATTTTATCAAGAAACCTTTTGTATTCTTTTATTAGTCCTTGATTTTTTTTTTCTAATATGTTAATTATGCTACCCTGTTACCAGTTTATTCCCGAAATTGTCACACTAGGCTTATGGTTAGGGAGAGTGTGGGTTAGGATGTGGGAATGTGTCGTGTTATCATAGATAGACTGAAAATGTCAAAATATAAACAGAAGGATGTGCTATAGCAATCTATGATGTGATGTTTTATATGCCATACTAATGCAAGTTTATTTCGGTTTACCAGATGCTTGCACAGAACCACAATGGTAAATGAAAAGTAAAACAGGATGATCACATAATGTGACAAGAATCCATGGAATTGGAAAATTCTTTTGCTAAACATTAGTTTTTGTTGAAAGTAATTTCTGTTGGTTTTGAATGAAATGCATTAGACCCTTTCTGTGAGTTTTTGGGAGACCAAGTTTTGAATGAATTAAGTTTAAGCAGATGTTTAACACCATAGTGTATTAGAACTGTTAATGCTCATGAAGGGCACTTCTAATCCTATTTATCTAACGTGTTGTGGTCCATTGGTTACTAATTGGCCTCAATCCCTTGGGACTTGGAAATCCCTCACCCAAACATACATCTAATGACAATTTTATATGCATGATTAGTCGGTAAACTGAATAAAGTTGTCTCACTTTGTTTTTGTTTTTGTTCTTCTTCAAGTGTGTTGTTTATACGATGCTTGTGAAGCTTAACCCCACCTTAAGTTCTTCAATTTTCATTAGAATGTTCAAGCCAAATGATATATATGTCTTTGCTGCCCTAAAAAGTTTGAAATTTAATTTAGTAAGAGTATGAAATAGTACGTTTTTATGCTATAATTTTCCAAATGTTGTCATTAATCTAATTAGATGAGGACCAGCCTTGCTGCCTTCCCCTACCTACTGGTTGATTCACCCTTCTTTACATGGTAGATGAAAAAAAAAATCACCGGAGTTGCTGGCAGGCAAGGGCGGCACTGCAACCATTACACCCCTTGTCAAGGGGTTTCTCGGTTAAGACTCGTAGATGTTTCATTGTAATAATCGTTTCTTGAAAAGGCAATATGTCCCTGAGGCTAAGAGTAGCAAATTTTTTGTTTGTTAGATGAACATTATAGCTTTGATCCAATTGCCTTCACTAGAGTAGAGCTCTATGGATTTGGATCCCATTTGGATCCTCATGTCCTATCCGTTCATCATATATCGTGCGGTCAGAAATCATTTTTTATTTAAAATTAAGCACAAACAGTACCTAACGAAAGTTGGCTGCACGATGTACGATGAATGGATAGGATGTGAGGATCATAGGATTTGGATTCGAGCTATTTATCTTGTTCCCCTAGATTTGCAAGCTTCCACCAGATAGAATGAATTTGAACACACCAATAAATTTTAACTCGTAAAATGAATTTTAACTTCTTGTTTTGCTGAAGAATGAATTTGAACACACCAACTTCTTTCAACCAATTTAAAAGATGGAGGAGGGTGCATAAATGCATGTCATACATTTACTTTGTTATACTTTCACCTTTTATGTATCACTAGCATTTGCACAACAGCACCAAAATAGCCTCCAAACTTGCTTGCACGCATGTCATATATCTTCTTTCACTGTACATCACACGACAATATTTTGTTTTAATAAGATTGATCAAGTTCAGGCAATGCTTGAACCTCTTGGTTGGCACTATCTTGGTAAGGAAATCTGCGACGTTATCGTCCATGTGAAATTTTTTCACCAAAATCTTCGTCAAGTCCACCCAATTATGGATTCTCTGATATCTCACTTCAATGTGTTTTGACCTACCACCCAATTCTGGGTACTTTGCTTCTATGGTCAACAAAGCAGTAATTGGTAATAGTAGTGCTCTCTAGCTAAGTGGTCCTCTTGCGCATGTAAAGACAACCAGAATTTGACCTTTTCTTGTCCAAGTCCCCTGCATAGTTGGCATCAACATATCCCAACACCCTTGCCTATTTCCTTATGCTTTCCAAACATAATCTCTCGCTGCCTTAGTAACCTTCAAGTAATGCAGAACCCGCTTGACTGCATCCTAATGTTTTCCTTGATTTTCCATGTACTTGGAAAGACGTTGATTGCTTGAGCCAGGTCGGGTGTGCACACAATTTCATACATCAGGCATCCCACAACATTAGCATAGGGCACCTTCTGTTGGAGCAATATTAGAAAATACGAAAACAACAATATAAATACCAATGGTAATAATTATAAAGAAACTCTCAACATCAATTGTGTACAAAATTAATATAAACAATTAGAGAGAGAGAGAGAGAGAGAAAGAAATACTGATAAAGTTGGAGATTAAGGCTTGCATAAATGCAATGTCCTAAAGATAGATTTTCGCCTGTACTGTTGTGCTTGTAGTTCTGTAAGTGTCTGTCTTCCAAGATTCAACAATCTATAATCTGAAGTTGAAGTACTTCAATCTTCAGACTCTAGCAAACTTTGTAAATTCAGTACTCTCACGTCACGGTCCATAATTTAACAAACAAAGAATGAGAGAAATAGGGTGGAGAAACCGTATACCTCAAGAGCAATTAATTATCCTATTGTCATACAAATGAAGTGCTTGAGGCACTACACCTCCTAATATTATTTTATTTTTGTCGGCATGTATACCACCTCCTATTTCATTAATTAGTGCGCCAGGTAGCGCAGTCTCATTGGACATTAGTTACAAATGAAGACCAAAAGTTACTTTTGTCACGTGGGAACCTTTCACCGCCCGCCTAGACTCCTTAAGCATCAAATTAATTTTATTTTATTTTATTTACCGTCTTACTTGAGCTTAATCCCAATGGTTGACCACCGCAGTAGCGCCTAGACACCATCTAAGCCAATTTTTAAAACACTGTTTATATAGCTTGAAACATGCTTCATGTGCATGGATAAGAGGTTACTTCTCATCTTCTTACTCTTGGCTTTAAATGATTAGAGGTATATACATCTCTCTTTGTTCGAGCACATGACCACTTCAGTCTCACTCTCTTATTATATATATGCGATATTGTTCTTACTGGTAATTATTCATCTCATTGCTACATTGGTTCAAGATTTGGGCATAGAGTTTGATATGAAGGATCTTGGCAAGCTCAATTACTTTATTAACCTTCATATCTTTCAGACTAACTCTGTCATGCATTCATATGCGTCAACAAAAATATGTTACAAATTTGTTAAGGCTTGAAATAGGCTTTTTTAACGTTATGAGGTGATTTGAAGTGCACAAGTGGCCTAAAATGGCCCAATATCTATTCTGAAGGGGAATAATAGAGAAAATGGTGATATAAGTAACTGTTTTTATATAGTGTTTTGTAGAGGAAACTTGAAAAAGAGATAACTGCCACAAGAAGGGCAAATCTCTTTTAAAACACCTACACGCCTCACATGCAAGTAAAACCAAGAACACCTTCATCACCACCAAAACTGTTTCCTCCCCTTTTGTGCTAGAGTGTTTTTGCTCAACACTTAGCACACCATCCATCCTCACCTTGGTTCTTGGTAAAACTACGACAATTTGGTCTTTATTGGAGATGAAAATATGTTGGCACCTTACTCACGAGATGGTTAGGTGTAACCGTAATCGACAATTTGGTTCTGCTTCTTTAATCTCTTGCATGTATGCCTAAGACGTTTGTGAAAAATCTTGTTTGTCTCCTTACAAACTCCAATAGCTCTTCTTCCATTGGAAAGGGTCCTATACCTACACAACCTATCTGAACATTTCTGCAATTTTTTGGTGTTTCTCACTTTATACTGAAGGAGAGATATTCCATCTATTTGCATCCAAACTTCTTTTTTTTTTTTGGGGGGGGGGGGGTGGGTTGAGATTAGGATTTTCAATTGCACTTTGCGGTAAGTTCCACTATGTAGCAAAGGTTTCGAATTCTCCAAGTACTTAGAATTTATAATATCAAGGAACAATGCTAATTCTTCCCTTCTGATTTGCAAGCTTGAGTTTGTTGAAAACAAGTATCGATTTATGGCTCCAAAGGTAAGGATTGCACTCTAGTATTTGTAGTAATGCACTCTTCGTGTCTGCCATATTTTGAATGAGTTTTGATGTATTAGTGTTTGATTATCACTTTTTGGCTAATTATCATTTTCTGGCACCTTTGTATCTACGTAGAGAATCATGTGACTAGTTTTGGCAGTACGCATTGGACGCCTTTTTTGGGCTCTCAACGCAGTGCTTAATCAAAGAAGAAATAGGCGTTATGCCTTTTCCTTTTTTTGTGTTCTATTTTTACTGCAACTGATGCCTATTTATAAACATCTTACGAGGGCTCTAAAGTTTTACGTGGGGTAAAATGGAGGCCATGAACTCTAAAAAAGGATCCTCGCCAGATCCTTTTCATGGGAATTCTAGCGATCTCGTGATCGTGACTGTTCATCATATATCGTGCAGTTAGTTTTCGTTAGGTACTATTTATATTTAATTTTAAGTTTTAAATTTTGAAATGATTTCTGACCGCACAATGTACAATGCACAATCACAATAACGAGATCCCTAGGATTCCCAGGAAAAGAATCCGACGATGATCATTTTCCATGAACTCCACTACTTTCCCTTAACTTCTCCCACATCTTTCAATTTCATTATTTCATTATATTTTTATTTTTATCTAATACAATCCACGTCCTCCTTTGTTGCAAAATGAAGAGAAGTTTAGGTTTTATGCGCAACTTCCCCTTTTGTAGGAAGAAATACATATTTTTTTTTTTATTATGGATGTTGATCTATACGTAAAGCCCGTCTTCACCTTTTGGGCTGAATTATATTTTTCATTTTGTCTTCCAGCTTGATCCAATTTGTATGGACTCTATTTCTTATTTATTATATTTTTTTTTTGGTTGTTCAACAGTGATGATGTAGAGGTTGTCTGTTTTCGTTGAGAATCTCACCTCACCAAAGTTATCCCAAGATTCCTTCAGGACTCCTTTAACAACTCCTTGCTTAGGGCTCTATCAATGAACAACACTGCTGCAAGCCAAGTTCTTTGCCTTATGTCGATGAGAGACAATGAATCCTCTAGCTAGATGACCGATTACTCTTGTTTTCATCCCTTGAGGATTCAATAAGTGGACAGTCACACTTAAAACTCTGTCTCAGATAACTTAAGAAAATAAGGCATCGAAGTTCAAACCCGACGCCTTCTGGTAATTCTAATTTGGGTTTTCATAACATTTCTCAGCCCTTTGAGTCCAATTTAGTTGTGTCCACATTCCACCATCAATTTTTTTTTAATTTTATGTTGGTTTGTCTGTAAAGGTAGATTCGTTGATGTAATTGTGTTCCTAATCTGGGTTTATTCTGAATTTTGACGGGGGATTCAATACATGTTAAAATAATTTCTTCCATTTGAGAATTTAGGATAAAATATATTTGTGTTGAATTTGGTTTCTCGACATTAGACCATCTCCAACTGAAGGAGGGCCAGATGACTCGTTTTATGACACACCCCGACCCGGAATATCCACTAGGACCCCGAAATTGAGCCGTGCTGGCTGACACTTGGAAGGTGATGAAGCCATAAAGTATGATAATGTATAAAATGTGAATAAATCAAAATCTAAAGTCTCTAAGTACACGAGTGCGCGGTGGGCGGGTATGGACCCATTTCACGCGTGATACAGAGTATAGGTATAGTACAGTAAGGTGAGATAATGATTATACCATTATAAGAAGACATCAGTACTGAAAAATGTCACGAATCCTTGTCGATACAAAACTCTACTGCTAGAACCTGGAGGGGTGCAAAAATAGAAAATATGAGTGAGTGAAACAAAACTTTTCAAACCAATTTCAATTACCAACGGCAGTAGCCCCTCGTCGTAATACCTGTATAATTTCCCAGAAAATAACAAGCGTGACTATAACTCTAAAGTTTAACCAAAATAACAGTCTCACAGTTATGTCTGTCAAATATCTCAACACGAATAAGTAACCCATGTGAAATAAATCAATATGAAATGGTATGTCTACCGGATCCACCTATTATGGCCTGTGCGGCTGAACCAACATGCTAGCCGGAGTCACCTCACTTGACTTGTACGGCTTATCCATATCTCATCAATCAATGCTAGCACATAAGTCGGGAGTCACCTATAGTGACCTGTATAACTTATCCATATCTCATCAATCAATGCTAGCACATAAGTCGGGAGTCATCTATAGTATCCATATCTCATCAATCAATGCTAACATATAAGTCAGGAGTCACCTATAGTGACCTGTACGACTTATTCATATCTCATCAATCAATGCTAGCATATAAGTCGGGAATCATATATGGTGACCAGTACGACTTATCTATATCTCATCAATCAATGCTAGCATATAAGTCGGGAGTCACCTATAGTGACCTGTACGACTTATATGTATCCTATTAATCAATGTTAGTATATAAGTCAGGAGTCACCCATAGTGATCTGTATAACTTATTCATATCTCATCATTAATGCTAGCATATAAGTCGGGAGTCACCTATAGTGACTTGTACGACTTAATCTATAGGTCATCAAACATCCATTCACACGAGTCGGAACCACCTCTAGTGGTCTGTATGACAGGACTAGGTGTAAATAAGTACACTTAAGTACTATGATCACGTGAAAACTGTGCGAATAATCGCATGTCACCTACGAGTCAGAACCACCTATAGTGGTTTGTACGACAGGCCTGTGCACCTACCTTAAGTCCAAGGTGAGCGTAAGGTGCGAGAGGTGAACATCACGTGAAGGACTGTGTCCTGGCCACGGGCGGGAGCACTAACACCGAGGTGCAGGTTTATGAGCTCTCAATGCATCTTAATATAACATGTACAACTCATGGATAACCTGTACGACAATGTCGGAGTTGCCTAACATAGGTCCGCACTACAACTCCCAAGCACGAATATCGAGACGTCACGAACGATCTTCACCTAGAACAATTATTCAGTCACGTCTCAGAACTCTTATCCATAGAACTCGTGATTTATATAAAACACATCCCAATGACATTCTAGAATGATTTGAGATCCATTGACCAAAAGTCAACCTTCAGTCAAAGATCAACAGTAGGGTCCACCACCCTACGTAACTCAATCCGGAAGATTCGCATCTTGGATATCCAATCCAAAACTTCTAAAGATCCACAATATACTTCTAGAACATAATACTAAAGTTTCATTACGATCCAACGGTTGGATCTTCACCAATTGCCGATTCAAGTGGCGGTCAACGTTTTATTTTACGAACTTACAAATCCAATTTGGGAAGATCCGTATGTCAGATTTCCAATCCATAAGTTTCAAATATCCTCAAGTATTACATACCATAATGTATTAAAATTTGGTGACGATCCAACGGTCGGATCGTTAATTCATGTAAGGACCTCTTAATGTCCAACTAGGTGGTCAACTATGAAACTACATTAAACATCATATTTCACTAAACAGATGTTAAATATGGAATCGGGGCTTCAAAATTAGCCTAGGAAGGTCAGGTGAAGTCTCAGCCCACGCGTCACCACGGTTCGCCGAAAATTCCACTATTTCTAAAATTTCAAATTTCATAGAAATGAAGATCTCAAAGAGAGGAACAACTTTCATATCTGCCACGAAATCCAAAAGTGGACGAAAGATGGTCAATTTTGCCCACAAAGCCGGCGGGTGCCTAAAGCTTTCCGGTGTCGATTCGTCGTCTACTGTGGTCCAACGGAGTCAAGGTTGGTTGGGTTTTTGCTCCTGGGATGATGGGCTACAAAGCCCAAGTGGTGGCATCGGTCATCGCTTTGCTGATTTGCCGGAAAATAAAAAAAGGTGGTCGGAGCACCGTGAGAACCGTTAACTTTCGTGGCCTTAAACTGCCACATACAGAGGTTAATCAAGGTGGTTCTTGAGTGGATTTTGTAAAGAGGAATAAGAGCTTCAAGATGGCGGTGGTGGCGTGCACGGGAAAGCTGGGAGCTTTCTCCTTTTTATTTTTTTATTTTTTATTTTATTGGTCCCCTTTACCTTGTAGCTAATTGGTCCCCTTTAATGTGCCTAACATCTGATTGGGCTTCACCCCACAAGGTGGGGATTTAATTTAATTAAAACTAGACTTTGAATAACCAATTTCGAACGTCTGTAACTATACCGTTATAATCCAGACTCGCAAACGGTTTTCGCCTATGCGTTCGTACTAACGAGTACTACGAGGATATGCTAAAAGAATAAGTCCCACATATCTCAAACTGATGATCAACGGAAGTTAAAGTCCTTGCCTCTAGGGCATTTTCGTAAATTCACGCTTTTAAAATTAATAAAAACGTAAAATTAGGGACGTTGTCACATTTTAGCCCTCTGGCCATCCAAGAAATTAATATTTTAATGAATAGTGCATGACCATATTTCTTACCATCTCAAACCGAGAGGCCAAGGGCCATAGGCCAAACATAGCCCTGTGATAAAAAACCATCTCCAACCGAGGGCCAAATGGTCATAGGGTCAAATATAATTTATTATTTAAATTTAAAAACTACAACAACTTAAATTTAAAAACTACTACTACAACAAATTAAATGTAATATAATTAAATATTTAAAATAAATTGTGAAAGGAACATGCTTATGAAAGGAACTACAACTATAACTACACCCATTATAATGTCCCACATCAGCTATGGGAGATGAATGAGCAAGGAAACATGATTATAAAATGAACACCCCAACTTCGACCAAATCACCTTTCTCGGCCCAAAAAATCTAAACCCATAATTAAATATTTTTTCAGAAAATTTTGGCCCAAAAAAAAAAAAAAATTTAACTGACGTCAATTAGTCGTTGGTTTTGAATTTGAGGCATAGCTCGGGGTTGGCTGGCTGGTTCCTTTGGGCTAGCCGATTAGCCCTTTTTTGTCCAGTAGGGCCCACGAGCCTTTTTGGCTTGGCCCTCAGTTGGAGATAGTTTTCGAGCTATTTTCGGCCCTCTGACCCTCTGGACTCTTCAATTGGAGATGACCTAAGTATCTGAAATCTAGCTTCATTTTTGCATTCCATGTTGTGCTTCTGTGTTGCTTTGTACTACAGCCTGCAGCCAAGAAGATGTTAATATTAATAATAATTTGTTTTTGGGGAAAAAATAAAAGTGATTGGACTTGTGTACCTGACCTTAACCGGTCAGCTTCAAGTTCGGTTCCAATGATGAAAATTGCTATATCCGGTCCGACCCAGCCCATTTCATTTTAAAACAAATTTGGTCCTGTCCCTTCAAGTTGGGCTCGGTCTAGCACATGCCCACCCTACATACATACATATCAGAACATACATACAAACAAAAAGAAAAATAACTTTTTGTCTAATCTCAAGTATAGAATTTTGGCCATAGTAGAACATAGAAAATGATTACGTGATGGTAAGGGTTTTAATTATTGAGTGTGATTTTATTGATAAATTTTTGTTTTATTGTTGATTTCATCGTGTATTGATGATAGCTATGTCATACGGGGAAAAAGACAATTTATATTCAAAGTTTGATGTAGCGTGAGGTTATACGAGTTAACTAAAATTTTTCATTTTGAAAGGAAGGTCAAAATTCGTTTTTAGCCTTGCATCTATAAAAAGTTTCCGACAAGATATAACTCATTTATAAGTGTTTTTAAAATAATTGGAAGCGTGTTTTGGTAAAATGTTTTAAAATCAATTCATAGTTAAAAAAAAAAAAAAAAAAACTTAAAATACTCTGGAACCTAAAATAAATTTCATTAAATACACTTACAAATTAGTCCATAAAGTATAAATAGTGTGGTTTCTTGTACTTGTTTATTTGGTGGTTAAGCCCAATGCATATCTAGCTCGTCGCATGGCCCATGTTCCCGTCGGTTGATTTACCAAAAACACCGTGTCTCTCTTCCCTTACACCACCCCACCCGCCCTCTCTCTCCTCGACCAGCTTCTGGTGATCGCCACTTTGCACTTCTAATCTCTTACTGCAACCCTTTACTCTCTCTCTCTCTCTCTCTCTCTCTCACCTCTCTCTGTGCTGTTCCCATATCTCATTCCACAGCTTCATTCAACCATGACAGTCATGACGCCTGCCCCTATTGATGTATGCGCCTCTCTCTCTAAGTATGCATTCATCTATGTGTTTGGTGTTTGCATATGCGTGTGTAGGTGTATATGCCGATAGCAGAGGTGGTCTTTGGTTCAAATTTGTATTTAGTTCATAAGATTATTGTAATTTGGGGTTTTTTTTTTCCAGAACTCAAATTGAAATTTGGGGTTGTTTAGGGCTTTGGTTTCCAATTTTCTATAGTATGTCTATGATTCTACCCATTGTTGTCTGAAATTTAGGGTTCTGTTGGAAACAATAATAAGGGTTTGCTTTTGGAAAATGCTCAAAATTCTTTGTCACACTTGTGTGTTTGTTTCAGCAACCAGAGGACGAGGAGATGCTTGTCCCGCATTCGGATTTGCCCGAAAACAATCACCAGCCCATGGAAGGTATTATGATCTGTACAGCTTGTCCATTCCCAGTAATTTTGGTGTTTCGATTGTCTGACACGTGGTTGTGTTGACTAAGATTATTTTCATGCTTCTGAAAGCAAAACTGTAAGGAAGTGCTCATAAAGTATCCATCCAAGAAGATTCATGTATACATTTTCTGCACTGTTGGATACTGAAATAGATCTTTTGAGTTTAGTTTTTTTGATTTCTCACAGTACTGTTATTTCAACAACTAACAGCATGAAAAATTTGTAACGTATTTATGTATTTATTTTTGTTCCTTTGCAAATTATTAGTTGTTGCACAACCTGAAACTGCTAATAATGTGGAGAACCAGCCAGTGGAGGATCCTCCATCATCAAGATTCACATGGAGAATTGACAACTTTACTAGGATGAATACAAAGAAGCATTATTCCGATGCATTTGTTGTTGGCGGCTACAAATGGTACTGGTCATTTCTCTCTCTTTGTTTTACATCGTCACTTGCTCTGATACGTTCCTCTTTGCTTTTCCTTGGCAGGCGCGTGCTTATTTTTCCAAAGGGAAATAATGTGGATCATTTGTCTATGTATTTGGATGTTGCGGATTCTTCAAGTTTGCCATATGGGTGGAGTAGATATGCACAATTTAGCTTGGGGGTTATCAATCAAATGCATAACAAGTATTCAGTACGAAAAGGTAACACCTTGGAGATTCTTCTACTCTTCCACTGCTTATTAAATTTCAAATTAGATCATTTGACATAATAAGAATCTCCGGCCTTAATCTATGACGTTAGTGTGATTCTCTATCTATTAGAACGGGTGTGCATTTAAATGTTGAAATCAAGATTGTAGCAAAAAATGGTTTCTTATGTTGATGAAAATAAGTGGATCTGGTGGGAGAGAAATCATTCATGGTTCATTACAAGAATTGGAGCCCAATGAAAGTTTTGGTCCAGTAGATTACTTCGTTGTGAGGAGTGCATTATGTCATTGGGAAATTCAGAATGTCTAACTTATCTATGTTTGGCCTTTTGATTTGCGTCTGGTACTTGGTGATTTCAGCTCATGTGATTTAGAAATTCAATAGTCTTTTACCACTTCTTTAAGCTGGTTCTGACATTTTGTATACTCACTGACAAGAACCTGCAAAATTAAACGATAATGTGTTTATAGATTTTTAACTCAATGTATTTATGTGATACAGACACACAACATCAGTTCAATGCGCGAGAAAGTGATTGGGGTTTTACATCCTTTATGCCTCTCAGTGAACTTTACGATCCCAGTAGAGGGTATCTTGTAAATGATACGATTATAGTTGAAGCCGAGGTTCTCGTTCGTAGGGTTGTAGATTACTGGACATATGACTCAAAAAAGGAGACAGGTTATGTGGGGCTTAAGAACCAAGGAGCAACGTGCTACATGAACTCCCTCCTCCAGACTCTGTATCATATTCCTTATTTCAGAAAGGTTAGCAGCTGCCGACATTTTTTTCTTCTCCCTCGTACTAACTTATTTGTTTAGAGATCCGTGAGGAAAACAATTTCTTGGATTTATTTTTCAGGCTGTTTACCATATGCCCACAACTGAGAATGATTTGCCATCGCAAAGCATACCATTGGCTCTTCAGAGTCTATTTTACAAGCTCCAGTACAGTGACAACAGTGTGGCAACCAAAGAGCTGACAAAGTCTTTTGGATGGGACACATATGATTCATTTATGCAGCATGATGTACAAGAACTCAATAGAGTTTTGTGTGAAAAACTTGAGGATAAAATGAAGGTAAGATTCTAACTTAACTTAGTTTGATGAATTTTCAAAATACTTAATGAAAAGTTTTACTATTTTTCCTGTTACCAGGGAACTGTTGTAGAGGGAACTATACAGAAGTTATTTGAAGGACACCATATGAACTACATTGAATGTATCAACGTGGACTACAAATCTACAAGAAAGGAATCATTTTATGGTACTACATTGTTTCTGTTTTGAGTTCTCCCATGTTTATACTTCTTTGCATAATGCTAACATTTTTTAATATGTGCCTGGCAGACCTTCAGCTTGACGTCAAAGGCTGTCGTGATGTTTATGCTTCTTTTGATAAGTATGTTGAAGTGGAACGTCTTGAGGGTGATAACAAATATCATGCTGAACAGTATGGATTACAGGTTGGTAACTCTAAGTCATTTTTCAGGATGCGGATAATTGGTGCAATTTTGCATGAGTTGTCCTAACTCTATTAGGAATTATAGCCTTAGAGGATTAAATTATTTACCCAATTGGAGTTGGTTTCTCAATTGGAGAAGGATTCATAACTAGATATCAATTAGGATTAGCAATCCTTATTGAAGACGACCTTTATTATGTCTATATAAAGGAGCTATTGCACTAGTTTTAAAATGGAGCAAAACAGTAAGGTGTATGCTACTCAAGGAGTTAGAGTGATAGAATATTGTAAGGGCAATGTGTAACTTATACCACTCAAGGAGTTAGAGTGAGAGAATATTGTAAGGGCAAAGTGTGTGCGAGAGAAAAGAAAAGAGATATGGGTGTATTTTTTGTTCCTTGTTCTTGTTCTTTTAAGTTATTTGTCATGTTTAATCCTAGAGGCTTGGCAAGATTATTCGATGTACTCGCTATGGATATGGTGAAAGATTGTTGTTGCTACCCCGTGGACATGGGCACATATAGCTGAACCACGGTAATTCTTGGTGTGATTTGTCTTGGTTGTTTTGTTTTTTGATTTTCAAGTTTTGTTCGTTAAAACGCAAAATTCACAACAATTGGTATCAGAGCCTCGTTTGGTTGATATCCATTTAGAATGGAGGGTGCACTTAGCACCATGATGAAATTACTCACCTGTTCCAAAGTTAGGAATTGGCTCATCAATTGTTAGTGAACTATTTTTTTTTTTTTTTTTAGGAGTATATGAGGCAAACTAACGGTGCACAGATTCTTGTCCTAAAAGGATTAGGAAAGAATTAAGTTTCCTTGTCCAATTTAGATGACGAATCCTAGAAGCCTAATTGGAAAAGGAAGAAAGTGTACTTTCCTATTCCATATAGAATATGAAAGAAATTGTACTTTCCTTTTCCATATAGAATAGGGAAGAAAGTTTACTGTCCAATTCCATATAGAATAGGAAACTTAATCAGAAAATAGGCATGCAACCATCAGTCTATGTACTATAAAAAGGCGTGTTGTGGGTTGAATATTCACACGAACGGCAGAGCGAAACACTTTGAGAGAGTGAAGGGTGACCGGATGAGAGATATTAAAACCTAGGGTTTGTGACAGCAAAGGGGGTTTTTATTGTAAAACAAAGAGGCTTGCATGCTAGTGAAATATCTCGGTAATCACCGGAGTGGACATAGGCAAGTTTTGGCCGAAGAACTATAATTCTTTGTGTTCATGGTGTGCATTTTCTTTTGTGTGTGGTGTTTTGGTTGTTTGTTTATTCTTTGTGATGGGTTAATTGTGAGTCATGGAAGTACATTGAAAATAAGGTCCTGGAGAAAGCATGTGTGTACTTCATCCAACTGGGTTATGGGAAGTATAATGGAGGACATGCTTTATTGTAAAGATCTCCATGAGCCAGTTGAAGGTGTTAACTTGAGGCAGACAAAGAAAAGATGATTGCAAATGGATGGTGACTAGGTGATTGCAAATGGATGGTGAATAGGTGATTTTTTTTTTTTTTTTTTTTTTTAATCTAAAGAAGAGACGAAAATTATGAAAAGCAAAAGTCACAAGGGTTGGGCATTCATAGGCCCTTCAAATTGATGAATAAGATTGAGGCGTGGTAATAGGTGTTAAATTTGAGGGAGAGGAAGAAATAGGTTGGCAGCTGTTAAACTTATTTTCCTGATTGCTGGAATGGCTGTACTCTACACAATCCAAGTTCATAAACCTTCAGGGTTTTGGAAATTTAACGAGTTATTATACTATGGGTATAACGAACTAAAATACTGGATTGTTCTTGGCAGCTGTAAGGGTATAAAACAAATTCAGAAATATGGTTTATCTGATTTGGTGGGATCTTAAGTTTGTGGCAAGAGATACAAGTTGCTGCCCGTGGACATATATTTCTAAAGGGCACAGTTCAAAGTGAGGTTTTGGTAAGACGGATGGGTTGGGGATGCAGGTTTTGTTCGTTATATCTCCATCTCTGCACGTAATCACAATATTTCTAATTGTTTTATTCCAAGAATTATTTTGAGTTGTTGTTGCAACTCTAGAATCAGTTTCCCTCGTCCCTCCTAAAGCGAACAGGAGAGTGTGGAAATTGGAACATTCTGTGGCGTATTCTAAGTCACTCCCAATACACCTTTCGGATATCCCGGCTCCATCTCTTGTAGTTTGGAAAGCCAAAGTTCCTCCAAGGGTGCAAGTCTTAGCTTGGAACATTTCATGGTAAGTTAAACACCTATGATTAATTGGAAAGAAGGCAACCCTGTTGAGAATATCGCGTTTAAGAATGGGAAAAACAAGAACAAACTCAGGAAATCAAAAAACAAATAACCAAGATAAATAACACCAAGAATTTACGTGGTTCGGCAATATGTGCCTATGTCCACAGGACAACAACAATCTTTCACTATATCAATAAAGAGTACAACCAATAATCTTGCCAAATCTCTAGAACTAGGACTTGACAAAAAACATGAAAGAATAAGAACAAGAAATACACTATCTCTTTTCTTTTCTCACGCACACACTTTGCCCCTTTTTTTCAAAACTAGTACGATACCCCCTTTATATAGACATAATAAAGGTCTTCTTCAATAAGGATTATTAATCCTAATTGGAAACTAGTTATAAAACCTACACCAATTGAGAAACTAACTCCAATTGGGTAAACCAACTCCAATTGGGTAAACCAACTCCAATTGGGTAACCAACTCCAATTGGGTAAACCAACTCCAATTGGGAAAACAACTCCAATTGGGAAATCAATATAATCCTCTAAGACTATTAATTCCCAATAGACTTAGGACAACTTATCATGGGCTGGAAAAATCCAACAATCTCCCCCTCCAGACCATGCAGAATAGGATTGCTCCTCTTGACCAAACTCCCATTGATCGAACTTTTCATGACCAGACTCCCCCTGATCGAATTACCCATAACCAAGCTCCCCCGATCGAACTACTCATTAATCAAGACCCTCTTGATTAGACTTCTCTTGACCAGGCTTCCCTTGATCGTAATACCCATTGTCATTGGCAAAGGCAATTATAGACTTCTTTGCCATAAAACCATCAATCATCTGCATTAAAGAAGCTCTTCATCGTAGGTCACAATACTTGCAATATTGTTCCCATCCTTTTGTTCATTTTTCCATTTACGACAATGTTTCTTCATGTGACCCTTTTTCCCACAATAGTGGCAGTCACCATTGAATCTCGTCTCACCAGAATTTTTGCCTCTTTTCTCTATGACAAAGAGTTGTCCAGCGCCTGCACCTGAAACTTTTCTCCTTGTTTCTTCATTAAACATGCTATCCTTAACAACATCCATCGACAGTACGCCATTAGAAGCCGAATTGCTTACAGTTACAACGAAGGTTTCCCAACTATCTGGCAAGGATCCTAGCAATAAAAGTGCTAGCAGCTCTTCTTCAATATTCAAACCCATAGTGGCTACCTGCTTGATCACGTTCTGAAAGTTGTTCAAGTGCTCGGTTACACTAACATCTTCTGCATACTTCATGTGGACAAGCTCTTTGATAAGGAATGCTTTCTTGGTAGCGGTCTTCTTCTCAAAGAGGGATTCTAACTTCTTCCAAAGAGCTTGCGCGTCAGTTTCTTTAGACACATGGTGATGGATGCTCTGATCCACCCATTGTCTAATCGTACCAATAGTTTTACGATTCATCTTGGTCCAATTGGCATCAGACATATTTGCTGGCTTGCTATTAATACCTTCAATTGGCTCATGGAGATCTTTACAATAAAGCATGTCCTCCATTCTTGATTTCCACGTAACCCAGTTGGAGTGGGTGAGATTCATCTTAATTGCACCCTCCATTCTCAACGGATATCAGCCAAACTTGGCTCTGATACCACTTGTTGAGAATATCACGTTTAAGAATGGGAAAAACAAGAACAAACTCTGGAAATCGAAAAACAAATAACCAAGATAAATAACACCAAGAATTTATGTGGTTTGGCAATATATTGCCTACGTCCACGGGACAGCAACAACAATCTTTCACTATATCAATAATGAGTACAACCAATAATCTTGCCAAATCTCTAGAACTAGGACTTGACGAAAAACCTGTAAAGAACAAGAACAAGAAATACACTATCTCTTTTCTTTTCTCTCGCACACACTTTGCCCTTTTTTTCAAAACTAGTATGATAGCCCCTTTATATAGACATAATAAAGGTCTTCTTCAATAAGGATTATTAATCCTAATTGGAAACTAGTTATAAAACCTACACCAATTGGGAAACTAACTCCAATTGGGTAAACAACTCCAATTGGGAAAACAATTTAATCCTCGAAGACTATTAATTCCCAATAGACTTAGGACAACTTATCGTGGGCTGGAATAAACCCAGCAAACCCTTTGTTTCTTTTTCTTTCCATTGGTGTATTGTGTAGAAAGGCTCCGAAAATTTTGCAACTTTGGATCATTTATTCTTGCTCTGTTTAGTAGCTTTTTCTTTGTGGGGTTGGTTAATTAGGAGGCAGGATTATGTTGGTCCATTTTAGTGTCATCTAATAAGTTATTATGTAAAAGGCTTAAGTTTTTTTATGGAAAGAAAAGGGGGTTAGTGCTAGGGAGGTGTGTTGTGATGGCAATTTTTTTGGGTGGATAGGAAAAGCCGAAATTTGGAGAATATTGTGGTGAGGAGGTGGAATACTTATGGGAAAGGGCATGCTGTTGGACTTCTTTGTAGCGCTCTAGCTTTGGAATTCAGAGAGATCTCATTTTCTGTTATTTGGTCGAATGGAAAGCCTCCGTCCTGTAATTATTTGTTTTATGTTATTTCTCAGAAAGGTGCTCCTTTTTGACTGAAAGGTCATGGGTACGAGTCGTGGAAACAGCCTCTTTGCAAATCAAGAGTTGCGTACGATATGTTGAGAATATCGCATTTAAGAAAGGGAAAAATAGAACAAACTCCGAAAATCGAAAACAAATAACCAAGATAAATAACACCAAGAATTTACGTGGATCGGCAATATGTGCCAATGTCCACGGGACAACAACAATAGTATTTCACTACATCAATAATGAGTACAACCAATAATCTTGCCAAATCTCTAGAACTAGGACTTGACGAAAAACCTGAAAGAACAAGAAGAAGAAATACACTATCTCTTTTCTTTTATCTCGCACACACTTCACAATATTCTCTCACTCTAATCCCTTGAGCGGTATACAATTTATTGTTTTGCTCCCTTCCAATTCAAAACTAGTACAATAGCCCCTTTATATAGACATAATAAAGGTCTTCTTCAATAAGGATTATTAATCCTAATTGGAATCTAGTTATGAATTCTACTCCAATTGGGAAAACAATTTAATCCTCTAAGACTATAATTCCTTATAGACTTAGGACAACTTATCATGGGTTGGAAAAACCTAACAATCTCCCCCTCCAAACCATGAGGAAGGTATACCAAAAAATAGGATTGCTCCTCTTGACCAAACTCCCATTGATCAAACTTTTCATGACCAGACTCCCCGTGATCAAATTACCCATAACCAAGCTCCCCCTGATCGAACTACCATCATCATTGGCAAAGGCAATTATAAACTTCTTTGCCAGAAAACATCACTTATCTTTATCTTGGTCCAATCAGCATCAGACATACTTGTTGGCTTGCTCTTAACACCTTCAGTAAAGCATGTCCTCCTCTTGATTTCCATGTAATCCAATTAAAGTGGGTTGCACCCTCCATTCTAAACGATATCAACCAAACTTGGCTTTGATACCACTTGTTGAGAATATTGTGTTTAAGAATGGGAAAAATAGAACAAACTCCGGAAATCGAAAACAAATAACCAAGATAAATAACACCAAGAATTTACGTGGTTCGGCAATATGTGCCTACGTTCACGGGACAGCAACAACAGTATTTCACTGCATCAATAATGAGTACAACCAATAATCTTGCCAAATCTCTAGAACTAGGACTTGACGAAAAACCTGAAAGAACAAGAAGAAGAAATACACTATCTCTTTTCTTTTCTCTCGCACACACTTTACAATATTCTCACTCTAACCACTTGAGCGGTATACAATTTATTGTTTTGCTCCCTTCCAATTCAAAACTAGTACAATAGCCCCTTATTATAGACATAATAAAGGTCTTCTTCAATAAGGATTATTAATCCTAATTGGAATCTAGTTATGAATCCTACTCCAATTGAGAAACTACCTCCAATTGGGAAAACAAAATAATTCCTTATAGACTTAGGACAACTTATCATGGGCTGAAAAAACCTAACACGATAGACCCTCGCAAAGCTGGGAGCCTTGTTGACTTGGGGTCGCTCTTTAATGTTGCTTCTCAGAACTTGAAAGCCTCTGTCTTGTAATTTAGAGAGATCTTGTTTACTGTTGTATTGTTTTAATCTGTAATAAAAGTTTGTTTCGCATAAAAAAGTTCGAATAAAGACACAGAAATAGGTATTCATTTTGCCTAGCTGTACATGATATTAGGGGTGTTCAAAAGAAACTGACGGTCTTTTCAACCAGTTGGTTTCCCTTAGATATATCAAAATTGCTCTGTAAAATCCAATAGGACTTGTAAAAGCGGATCTCATCTTGGAAAGTTGTAAAAACTGATAAAAATGATTTGGTGGGCGGTTATGTTCGATTTTTTTCTTTTCCTTGGTTCCCTCCTGTTGTCTACCTCTTTCCTATTTATTGTTCCTCTCTCTCTTTGCCATGCTAAATCTACCTTTGTCTTTTGTTTTGTGGAGGGACTGTAAAGTTCCATTTCTAATAGTTGGCTTGCTTTGGCCACAAGTGTGATTATTTCTTCAGTTTGTTGCGTTTTGTTTTTGGCTGTTTATAAGAAAAAAATTGTTATATTGGCATACTTGTTGGATGATCGTTTTGGACTTTGTGGAATCATTTCAGGATGCCAAGAAAGGTGTTCTGTTCATTGACTTCCCCCCTGTGCTTCAACTTCAGCTGAAACGATTTGAGTACGACTTCATGCGGGACACAATGGTGAAGGTTGGAACTCAATAAGCTTCTTATAACATCTTCTTTTTACAACAACAACCAAGCCTTATTCCACATAACATCTTTAAAAAAAAAACTTTATATGACATGCCATTGTGACTGTTATTTGTGATGATTACATGATTACCATGAATGTCATTATAGTTTATCCATTACTATTGTGTCCAAATAATTGTTTGAAAATGAAGATGGGAAATTGTTGTTTGTATTTAATGGCTCAATATATCCATTTATCCACAATCAGTGCATATTTTACTTGATATGCTGTGTTCGGTATGAATGCTAACGAAAGAATACAAATGAGTAAATTAGATTTAACCGGAATTTCACTTTCAGTCAACTAAACCACTATGGATCAAAGTGTAGATAAAAAATGGTAAGGACCCGTGTTGTGTTTGCATTAAAGATATCCTTACATTTGCATGTCCTGTGATCTGGCCATTACTGGTTCATATTATCAGATATTTGACTTGCAAGACCCTTTTTATTATTTTTACCAGTTGAACTGATAATATAATTAGACTGGTCTTTCATATATGGGTTCCTCACCGGCAAATATAGCTTGAGTTCCTTTATTTCTCCCATCTAGTTTCCCATAGTGATTGGTTTATTAATTATTCACAGAACTTTTAAGTGTATTGCGCCATTATATATTGGTCTATTAATAGTTTATTGCGGATGAGTTTGGAGTGATGTGATTTGCATTTGAGCACATACGACTGAGAGACTGCATTTCTTTTCTCGACATAAAAGATTAGAGTTCTTTATGCTCTCTTTATGTAGATTAATGATCGTTATGAGTTCCCGTTGCAACTTGACCTTGATCGAGAGAATGGAAAATATTTATCACCTGAAGCTGATAGGAGCGTTCGCAACCTTTACACACTTCACAGGTATGTTTCAGCATCATTCTTATTTGTCATGTATCGGAGACCACTTTCTTTAGTTAAATGTCCTAGGGAAGCTTTCTGGTGATCCCTCTGTGATAATTATAGTTATGAGGTTCACTTATTGGTGCTTGATATAGTTGGGGAAGGATTCTATGTAGCTCTTGTTATTGAAAGAATTCTAAATTCCTCATGCATGCTTTGTGGGAAATCCCTTTGCTCTTTTAGCTGCATCTCCTTTTTCTGGACAGAAAAATTTTCGTCCTTTAATAAATGTTGGTAGGGTGCCACAATTTTTGCTGTGAGGATTTTATGGTCGACGCATATCATCTGATAGGGGTGCTGAATTTCACTTTCGTTGCATATTGTTTGTGGGGGAATAAATTGGCATTGAACTCTTCATCCATGACATTCAAAATACTAAGAGCATCTCCAATGGAGAGATGCAAATTTGAGTTGTAAAAGCCACTTTTACATCTCATTTTACATTTTCGGGTGTAAATGGTTCATTTTATCCTATTCTATTTTTTCTTCTTCTTGTTCTTTTTTTTTCCCGTCTTATACTGCTCGTTAACGTATAATGTATAGCTGATAATTTTCTGTTAATAATATTTTGTTTCTTACAAAAATTGCTATTCTGGAAGAAACGAACACTTTGAGGCATTTTTATGTCTCCCTTAGACTCAGGATAACTATTTTTTATCTCCCCATAAAAGAATTAGCTTCGATTCGTAGTTGATTTTTCTATTGTACTTATCCATTTATGGTTTTTACAGTGTTTTGGTGCATAGTGGTGGGGTGCACGGTGGACACTATTATGCCTTTATCAGGCCAACACTTTCTGATCAGTGGTATGTATCAACTCTGTATCTATCCCTCAAGTGTGCACGCATGTTTTGCTTGTGTGGAAAACTTATGATTGGTTCTCATTACGTTGCTGCATCAACCCCCTAGTGTTGTTTTCATATTGTTTATTTGAAGCTCTGGAAGCACACATGTATACTTGTACATTTTAAATTTCATCTACTTCTTTCCAAGCATCAGGAGGACCCTTTTCTACATTTGTCTTTTGAGAAGAGACAATTTCATTGCTTATAAACCGTAGAAATCCAAATTTCAAAATTGGGCAAGTGGACCACTCCAGAAAAGCGGGAAAAAACAAGAAGTTTATCTAATACAAAAGAGACCTTATCTATGAATTCTTTGAATCTTAAGGCAATTAATGACTCACTATAGTTGTATTGTCAATCTCTCATCTTTTTGTGTGATCAAGTCTGTGTGTTTATGCATCTGGTTTCCTTTCTGGGTGAACTGTAGTTTGATTTTTAGCAGTGTCTATCCATATGAAGATGGATGTAGTTGTACCATTTATCTATCAATCTATCCATAACTAAGCACATCACCTGCATATCAATTTCCTCGATAAGTAGATACCACACTCACATTTACCAGTGTACCACAAATAAGGTAATTCTAACATAATAAATGACTATGCCATGCAGATATTTTGAGGCCTTGGGTCATAATAGGCATCTCAGTTGTTGTGTTACCTTGCCAATTATGTATCCCAAGTTGTATACTTAAGCTAATTCTAGAATTTGATTGAATTTTGAGAAATGCATATAGGATACCGAGAATGCGAGTAACTGAGGTTGCTACTTATCTTCAATCAAGCATCTTTCATTTTCACATGTCATTAAGCATGTTGTTCACAGGTATAAATTTGACGATGAGAGGGTAACAAAAGAAGATATAAAGAGGGCACTAGAGGAGCAGTATGGTGGTGAGGAAGAGGTATGCTTTTCCAATTTCTGCCTGCAATATTGAATCGATGTTTTACTTTGTACTTTTTTTCCTCTTTCATAATTTGCTTATTATTTTAACAGTTACCGCAGACAAACCCTGGATTTAATAATACTCCTTTCAAATTCACGAAATATTCAAATGCATACATGCTGGTGTACATACGGGAAAGTGACAGAGATAAAATAATCTGCAATGTGGATGAAAAGGACATTGCTGAACATCTGAGGGTGAGATCCTGTTATTAAGGCCAAGTTTTAGGCTATTTTCATTTTAAGAAATTGGACGCATGACTTTCTCCATTTGATGATGTATTTGAATGAACCTCTGAACAATGCTGATCTCAATTATCCTGTTGTTTGAGATCAAATTCCTCTAATGATACAAGTTCTGTTGAACTTGGAATCAGAAATAAATGAGATACAAATAAGGTCATGCTTTGCTTGTTTGGTTCATACATTTTGGCATATCAACTGCTTTCTAGACATACTTGGTTAATTTATGAGTTACTTTTATACAAAGGAAAACAAATATACTTTTACCTTATGGGAGATAAGTTCTAAATAAATTCATTGACTTGTGTCAGGAGAGATTAAAGAAGGAACAAGAAGAAAAGGAGCACAAGAAGAAAGAAAAGGCAGAAGCACACCTGTACACTGTTATAAAGGTCGGGGTTTAGCTGCTAATGTCTCCCTTATTAACAAGTGACTCTGTGGTCAATTTTTACAAGTTTCTAGTTTGAATACACTTATGAGGTATATGATTCATCTAGGTTGCTCGGGATGAGAACCTCATGGAGCAAATTGGGAAAGATATTTATTTTGATATTGTGGATCATGACAAAGTTAGAAGTTTTCGTATTCAGAAGCAGACCCCTTTTAACATTTTTAAGGTACAACTCAGAAGGTGCTTCTTGCACCTGATTTTAAATTTTTTTCTTCTGTCTATAAGAAAAAAGCTCTCTCTTTCCGCTGGTTTCCAACTATCCATATTGTCTGCTAAATATGTTATGGCTTTAATAACCGCTTATGTCCTCTTTTGGTTCTGCAAGTTATTAGTTTGTGTATTAAAACTCGAAAGGCTAGAGTTGTTACTTGTGGATTGTTCTCCTTTTTTCTTAAAGAAAGCAGGCTCTGTTTCCCACCTTTGTCGGTTGAATGTAAGGTACAAGCAGAGGATAGTGCTCTTGATGCTTTCAAGTCTTCTTACATTGTCTCATAACATTTAACTGACCTGTTTGTGTCATATTTTATTTTCATTTCCATGGTTGCGGTTAAGTAACTGTAATCATTCTACAGAAGCAGAAGTATACACAGAGGAATATGGAGGCAGCTTCTTACCTATTTAAGAAAATTCTCCGACTTTGTATATATAAACCTAAAATATTGAGGGGGTGTGTGTGTATTATTGAGAGTCTGCGCTTTAGGCAATTAGAAAAGTAGTAAACATGATAATATTATGGCAACTGGAAATTGAAGTGATACACAGAGAACAAATGTCTGATTAGATTTGGCGTTCATTCAACATTGATAATCATGTCATGGTTTTGAGCACTGGATTCCTGTGCAACAAAATATTTATAGGTATACCAAAGTATGTTCTATTTGTTTCCACCATGGATTCGGGATGGCAGGTCCTTGTTTCTTTTTTTCTTTTTTTTTTTTTTTATATATTAATTCGATTAAGTTTCATGGTGAGATGTGGGTATTTATATTTTTCCTCCGAGTGGCTTAAATTTGATGCCATTGAGTAATTGTTAAACTTATGATGCAGGGCTTAAATTTGTAGGAACACTCCCGGTGGCTTTGCATGTAGGGTTAGGTTTAGGTTGCAACACACAATCCTGGTAGAAGCAAACCAATTTTCCTCCACTGCAACTGGTCACTAAGTGTAACAAGGGTTTTGACCGTCAGATTTAATCCACGGCTTAATTTTGTTGACCAGTCTTAAAATCCAACTGTCCAAACACTGTTGCACTTAGTGGCCGGTAGCACTGAAGAAATATTGGAAGGAAAACTGCTGTAACTTTATTCAATCATCCATATCCTCTCAAAGGGATTGCAATTGGAAATTTATAGAACCTAAACCTAAGAAAACCCAAGGATAACAAAAGTACGAAAATAGGCCTAACTAAATAAAATGAAAAAACAAGAGTCGAGTAGAAAACATAAGAGAAAGTGTAGGTAGCTAAAGTACCTCTAACTTAGTCCCAATCAACACTTGTAATAGCCTGGCATCATCTGGGATGTGCCAAATGAGGCTTGAATGGTATGTATACATGCTCTTCTGGATTTTCTTGGCATACTCTTCTTTGTTTTGGGAGTAAGGTGCTCAGCTGTTTTTAAATTTCTGCAACTATGATTTCTCAATTTGTATCCCGATTTTTTTAAATTTCTGCTTCCCTGTTGAGATTTAAAAATCAAAGGTAAAAGATTTTGAGAATGCCTGCTAGAGCTCCTATGCAGTTTTATAGGTAGCTTTTTTGTTACATGGATCGTAGGTTAAAAAATTTGTTGGTGAACTGGCTGGTAGCTCAGTGAAAATTTCTGCTAATGTGAGTCAAATTTCAGTGAATCATTCTAAGGGATTTATGCCTTTTGCCTAGTATTGTAAGTGGACTTCAAGGTATCTAGCATATGGTGATTATATCCATTCTGAAATTTATTTAAATTATTATATATTCTTGTGTTTTCTTTTTGGTGGTGACGTGCTTCAATTAACGTTGATTGTGTTTCCTTCCTGCGCTTCTTAATTTTTTTCCATAATGATTCATTCAGGAGGACGTTGCAAAAGAGTTTGGCATACCAGTGCAATTTCAGCGTTTTTGGCTGTGGGCAAAGCGTCAAAACCATACATATCGTCCTAACCGTCCGTTGACACCTATGGAGGAAACACAATCTGTACTTATCTTGTGCTGTTACTATGTCTATGTTTTAAGTTTATTTTTTCCTCCTTTTTCTTCAATGCTCCTGATGACGTTCGCATGTACAAGCTAATGCTTTTCAGATAGTGCGATTTATAAAATGAAAATGAAAAGTCATACTATCTGTCTTTTACTTGTGGGTTATTGAAGCAGTTCTCTCATGTTGCATTATATCTGATGCCCTATTATTTTGGTTTCTGTATAGAAGTCTATGTGCGCGGCTCAGTCTTTCTTTCAATCATTGTAGGTTGGACAGTTGAGGGAGGTATCAAACAAGGTTCATAATGCAGAACTAAAGTTATTCTTAGAAGTAGAGCTTGGGCCGGTAATTGTATTTACAACTAAACATTGTGTCATTCTTGTATGGAATGTTCTTTGTAGCATTTTCTCTGATTTTCTGCAATTTTATTCAGGATTTACACCATATTGCTCCACCTGACAAAACAAAGGATGATATCCTGCTTTTCTTTAAGCTTTATGATCCAGAAAAAGAAGAACTGCGGTACATTTTTTTAAAATTTATTTTGACATTTTAATCTTTACAAGTTGTTGAAGAATATGAAGGTTTATGTTTTTTGCGTATTTTCTCCATAATGTCAGATATGTTGGAAGACTTTTTGTGAAGAGTACTGGTAAGGCAGCTGAAATCTTGTCAAAATTAAATGAAATGGCTGGCTATGATCCCGAGGAAGAGATTGACCTATATGAGGTTTGTATGCAATTACAACTTATGGCAGTTCCTTGTGTCATTCTGTAGGGAACTTCTAGGACTACATTGTATATGTCCTTATGACTATGAAACTTGCAATTTAGCTGGCAAGGATGGCACATTAGTCAGTTCATGACAGTAACCTTGTCCAGTTGAAGAAATTTCGGGTTCTCTCATAACGAATATAATTTGTTTGTTTCATCCATAAACAAGTACCCAAAACCTTGTGCCTTTGCCGGTTGAATTCAAGGTTCATGAACCATGAGTTGAATTTGTCTGGTGTAGAACTGCTTGATTAGTGGTCTCTTTTATTTCTAATTATATGTGTCGGTTGATTTATTTTGATTCTTTCATTAGTCGTCAACCATGGTTTCTTACTGGTGCTCTGATTCTCAGGAAATCAAGTTTGAGCCCACTGTCATGTGTGAACCCATTGATAAGAAATTCATATTTCGAGCCTGCCAGGTATTTTCTAAATGTGTTCATGAGTACTTTTGCTTGTCAGTATTTGAACTTCTTGTCGTTGTATGCAGCTTGAGGATGGAGACATTGTCTGCTTTCAGAAGCCAACTTCAGTTGAAAGTGAACATCTCCGCTATCCTGATGTCCCATCTTTTCTGGAATATGTGCGCAACCGTCAAGTAAGACTTCCTGAAACTTAAAACTACGCATTGGAAACTACTGTTCCGTTGGTGCTTTATTTGAATTGGTGGTCATATGAGAACAGACTTTTGACATAGCTGTGAGACTGTTGCTGAAGCTTGATCTTGTGCCTGGTCAAGTTGCTTGAAAAAGGAGTTCAAATACATGCTTGTTTTCTGGATGATGGGGTTGTTTCACCCACCCATATAAGAAATTTGTGAGACTGTTACTGAAGCTTGATCTCGTGCCTGGTCATGTTGCTAGATAAAGGAGTTAAAATACATGCTTATTTTCTGGATGATGGGGTTGTTTCACCCACCTATATAAGAAGTTAACTGTGGTGCACTTCAGGTGGTGTCCTTTTGTCATGTATAATAAGATGGAATAGTCATGTTTCCTAATTTCTGGGAAGACTTTTATTTATTATCTTAGATTACCAGACCATGTTCTCTCATGACTGTTGTGTCCGATGTCTAGTTACTTCATCATAAATATTCTTGAGGAGCATTATTTAAGATAAACGTATCCTATATCTTTATTATGTATTCTTGTGCTGGTGAAATATTCTTTTGCCACAATTTTCTGAATTTAGGAGGTGAGTATTGTGTACTTCTAATAAAATATTGTTTCTCATAAAAAGGTACCCTGATTTCACCAAGTCTTTATCATCTGATCTATCACAGGTTGTTCACTTCCGATCCCTTGAGAAACCCAAGGAAGATGATTTCTCCCTAGAACTGTAAGTTATATTATAATATTATTATTGGTTAATGTTCATCTACATTATTTACAATATGCGGCATTTGTGTTCATTAAATATCCTGTATATGATCTAAAAATTATTTGTCATTACAATTTTCATATTGGTTTTAAGGTCAAAACTTCATACCTATGATGATGTTGTGGAACGAGTAGCTCAACAACTTGGTTTGGACGATCCATCCAAACTTAGGCTTACACCACACAACTGTTACTCACAACAACCCAAACCCCAGCCAATTAAGTATCGTGGGGTTGACCACTTGACTGATATGCTGGTCCACTACAATCAGGTAATAACTCCACAGCCCCAGGTGATATTTATTTTAATACCTAGAAGATCAAAACTCTTACAACAATCTAATGGCAGACTTCAGATATACTGTACTATGAAGTGTTGGACATCCCTCTGCCTGAATTACAAGGTTTGAAAACTCTGAAAGTTGCATTCCATCTTGCTACTAAGGAAGAAGTGAGTACACGTACGAGATCTTACAAAGTTATGGTTTGTTAGTTTTAATTATTTCCTGACATATCTGTCATTTACCAGGTGGTTGTTCACACCATAAGACTGCCAAAACAGAGCACTGTGGGGGATGTAATTAATGATCTTAAAACTAAGGTGACATTTTTGGCTTGTTAGTGTCGCTATCATCCTATCCAACCAATTGAAACTTCCTATTTACTAGTAGTGTGTAGAACTCTTTATTTTTTCCTACTTTTATTGTTGATCTTGTTGATGGTTTACCTTAATAGTTTAATAGCTTAGTTTACTACTCTGATTTTATGGTTCTAACTGGTGTATCTCATCGTGGAGCAGGTTGAATTGTCTCATCCGGATGCAGAACTTAGGCTGCTTGAAGTTTTCTATCACAAGATTTACAAGGTCTGAGCTTCATCTTCCAATGAAAACTACTGGTCTGACTAGCATACCTCTGAAGTAGATATGTGAAAGACAAAGATTGATATATGTTGGTCTGCAACAGATTCTTTCTAAAGTAAATTATACAATAGCATTAAATAATACGGTTTTATTTGTATACAATTTTTCAGAACACTCTTTGAAAGCGCTGTTTTCTTTGTCCCTGTTATGTGAGCTGAGTGTTAATTGGCTTTTTTATATTTGTGCATATCAAATGTACAACATCATGAATTCTGTGATAGTCATAGCTTTTCATCAAAATTTATATTCATCAAGCACTACGGGTATGGTGAGGACATGAAATCCAACAGTGAGTAAACTAAAGCACAAGTCCATAAAAACCTAGCACATTTGTGTGTGGCATGACACTGTTCTGTTAATTGCTTTTTGGGCTTGCCATGGTTCTTTGAGATCTACCTTTCCTTTTGTCCTAGTTCTTTCCTCAACCAAATGGTGATATAACTAGTTGGAAGAATGGGATTATTTAGATTTGCGGCTTACTGTTTATCCACATTTCCGCTCTATATGGCAGTTAGAATACTTATAAATACCAAGTTGAATTTTATTGTTATTGCTAATTGATCTTGATGTACAATATCTGCAGGTTTTTCCTCACAGTGAAAAGATTGAGAACATAAACGATCAATACTGGACATTGCGAGCTGAAGAGGTCTCTCTCTCTCTCACATGCTTATGCACAATGGGGTCTTAATTCTAGTTATTGGTTGTGTTTTTTAGGTTATGAGTGTCTATTTGATGTTTTTTCATTTCCTTTCAATTCATAGGTTCCTGAGGAAGAGAAAAATCTTGGTCCTAATGATCGTGTAATCCATGTGTACCATTTCACTAAAGACACAGCTCAGAACCAAATGGTAATTGCAAAGATTTAGTTTCACGGTTCTGCTATTTTTCCCCTCCGGATATATGCTTGCCTTTCAAAACCAAATATCATATGATGTGTGTCTCATATGCTCAAATTTGTCCTTTCTTTCACAGCAAATTCAAAACTTTGGGGAACCTTTTTTCTTGGTCATACATGAAGGTGAAACTTTGGCTGAAGTTAAAGCTCGAGTGCAAAAGAAATTACAGGTTGCAGATGAGGAGTTTGCTAAGGTGCAACCTAAGTTCTCATTACCATCATGCACTTTCATAATTTCATTAGAAATATAGACATTCTCATTCGTTTTAAATGAATAAATGGGATTGTTGTATTTTACTGATACAACATCAAATTAATTTTGTTTCCTTTGCCAGTGGAAGTTTGCGTTTCTTTCCTTAGGTCGCCCAGAATATCTTCAGGACTCGGATATTGTGTCTAGTCGATTTCAGGTGTGTATTAGAAATGGAAAATCAGTAAACATCTTACTATAGATATGGAAATCCTTAGAAGTAGAAGTTTATTACTTTTGTAGTTGTTTCTAATTTAAGAATTTATTTTCATTGATTGCTTTTCATTTGCCATCCTATATAGAGAAGAGATGTCTACGGTGCTTGGGAGCAATATCTTGGGCTGGAGCACTGTGACAGTGCTCCTAAAAGATCTTATGCAGCTAATCAGGTGAGATGCGTAGTTTCGTTTTGTCCGTCTTCTATGTAACCATTTTTCTTTTAAATTGAAACTAGTAGATTATATATTTGCTCAAATATGTTTGTGCGTTGGCTTGCCTGTTGATGACTGCCATTTTTACAATTTGTTCTTTTGCAGAATCGTCATACGTTTGAAAAGCCAGTAAAAATTTACAACTAGGAAATTGTTGGATGAATGAATCACTCCAGAGATGCGTTGGTAAATTCTTCACATGGCGGTGAAAGTGGGAATTGGTGAAGGGTGATTGTGCAGCCATCCAGTGATATTAGCTTTTGAAAAGGTGTCAGGCAAGGCTCGGTAGGCAGATTTGTTAGCTATTTAATTCTTTTTCCAGAGTTGTTGGGGACGACTCTTCGTAAATCAGTGTCTGCAAGCATTGATCTTAACTGCAGTTTTAGACACAGGCGGTTCGTCTTTTGGTGTCGTGGCAATGGACTTCACCATCAGTTCAATGTAAACCTTTTGACAGTAAATAAACAAGATTTTTGAACTAGTGAATGTATACAGGTACAGTTTGGTGTCACTCAAGTTAGCTTTTTGCGTGTTTCTCTTCGCGTTTCTGTTCAGTTTAGGTAGCGAGGTGGACAGGGGTGGTGTTGTGCGTGATTAGTCAGTTCCCAAACATGTTTCTGGACTTTTGTAAAACATATTTTCCAGGCACTGCCGGTGAATTGAGGGCAGTAAGTCTCTACCCTGTTTTTTTGTTATGGAAGCCTTGTTCTGATGTTCTGCAACAGCTTCTGTTTTGCTTGTAGCAGCCTCTTCCGAATCCAGGAACCAGCATCGTTTGTTGATTTATCCGCTAACCTCACGTTTGAACGAGGGTTTTAAACTTGAAATTTAGACGAAAGACAAAAATTGAAATCAAAATGTACCAATTCTCATGTATGGGTTCATAAGAATTGACAAATTTGAACTTTAATTCTTACAAATCTTCCTATTTCCAAATTACATTTCTACCTGCTATTACATCCGCCTTTCTATGTCCGTCACCATCACCAGCTCCATCCACCACCATCTCTTGCACCATGATGTTGCCGCTGCCACCGCCACCGCCCTAGCAGCACAACCACCAGCTTATCAGGCAATTCATGTCGGGAACATTAATTTCAATTCCAATCCAATAGATTTCTCAACTTAGCTTTCCCATTTCCTAATATCTGGAGTAATGAAAACGAAAAATAGTTGCCCAAGATTTTTTCTTCGTGTTCTATTATATCTACCATACAAGCGAAGCTTTTAATCCACACGAGTCCAACTTAGCCGCATTAAAGTTAGTCCGTGCTCACACCAAACACGTACTAGGAATTTTTGCCAAGCCAGTTTAGTCCAGTGAAACTTAGCAAGGCCAAACAAACACGCCTTAAACATCATTTATCTACCACGCATGCTTCCTTGTGTCCTTGTTTTTTTGTGACTGTGAGTCATTAGATTTGGCTCCGTGGTGTTAGAATAAATGTAGAAATATAGAGAATAATTTGAAACATGTCTTTTGAGTCGTTTTCTAAGCGTTATTTACTCAAATGAATTTACTAAAGGGTTCTTGTAATACCCTGTAAATTTAAATACATGAATAAGATATTCATAATTATGAATATGTGGAGAAAATAAAAAATAAATCAAGTTATGGTTATGAAAATTTTATTGAGGAATTTTAAAATTTTGTTACCAGAAATTATTATAATTTACGTTGTAAAATCTATCGATTAAGTGGAAATGGCAGAAGTGCTCCTAGGCGGTTAAATGAAATCTTACGAGGACATATTTTATCATGTTTCTTGAAATATTTGGATAGAGTTCGATCTCACGAACGTATAGGCGCAAACCGTTCATGAAACAGAATTATAACGAAGGAGTTATTAGCATTTAAAGTCGGGGATATAATTGTAAATTTAACCCCTTTAGAAGGCTCCAGAAAATCTGGAGCACTGAGTTTCTACCACATGTGTGGCTGAGATGAGAAGAAAAGAAAAGAAATGAAGGAAATAGACGGCTGTGATGGAAAAGAAAGGACAGAAAAGGGAGAGACATGGACAAATGAAGGGGGGAGAAGGGAGGGAAATGAGAGAAGGGGAGAAAGGAGGAAACCTGACCTTCCTTCAACCTACCGACCCGACCCGACCATTGTTTCCAATTTCAGTCACCGTTGATGATGGGAAAATAACCCTCCCTTCGACACCAATTGACCTGTTCACCAATTTCATCCCAATTTCGATGGAAATATGCTTTTATTTAGTGAAACCCGCACCAGTGGTGCGACGGGTCCGTGTCTGCGATCTCTTGTTTGTGAAGCCACCACCGTAGACCACCACCATGGTTAGACTCCTTGTGAACCCAGGAACATGTCCTAAGCCTTGGTTGGGGCGGTGGGGCACTCGAGGCGACGAATTGAATACACCCAAACTCTAGGGTTCTGGCAGAATTGAGTGAAATTAGGGTTTTTCCCAGTCGAATTGGACTTCGGCCCAGGTATGAAAGTTGTTCCTTCATTGAACTCTACCTTCTTGGAAAAGGCTGGTGCATGTTGATTTGGGTGGAAAAGGGCCTGTGGATGTGAAATTGGGTGGAAAAAAAAAAGAAAAAAAGAAAAAAAAAATGTGTGGTGTGTTTTGGCCAGGTATATTACAATCTTTTCCAGTCTACTAGTCACTGATGGAGATGAAAAGAAAATGGTGGTGAAATCATTGTTTTGACAATGATAAGTATGGCTAGAAATTTTAAAATCCTTTGGCCAATGATAATGGTGGTTGGAAATTTTAGTATTTATTAAAGTCATGGTGATTTATGGAATGGGAATGAAATTATAAACTACGGTTATGGTTTAACCATTATAATTGGAATGGTGGAAAGACCATGAACATTTTCTTCATTTATTATTGGTGGACATGAATGAAGTTATGAAATGAGATTTTGAGCTTGTTTGATATAAACGATTTTCCAACTGAGTTTTTCTCGTTTGATGAAAAGAATTGACGGGAAAAGTATAATTACAAATTTGATTGGTTTGGTTATCATAGTTTTGAGTTGTCATTGTTAGATTTGATATTGCGAACAAAATCGATGACGAGCACATATTCTCGTGGCTATGCGGTTAATAAGGTTTATTTTTGTTGGCCAATAGAGCTGTAATATATTTAAATTTCTCTTCTTTGGGTGATGGAATGTGAATAGTACTCTGGATATGCGAGTCACTCATTTATTCGATCTATGGCTGCACTTTGAAGCAATTTAAAAGAGAAACAATTGAAAGAAAGATTTAAAAGGCTTTTAAATTCACTTTGGGTAATTTAGTTTAATTGTGGATATGAATGAAATCATAGAATGAGATTGATTTTGTTCAATGTTAATGGTATTGCGGATTTGGTTTTGAACTTTCTTTCCATTACCCGATGAGTGTGATTGGAAATTCCAATGATTTTGGTTGGAATTTTTGTATTTGATTTGCCAATTCTAATGGGTTGGTTTGAAATTTTTATATTTGCTTAGCCACTAATGATTATGGCATAAAATTATGATATTTAATTGGCCGAAGATGGTTATGGCAGGAATTTATGATAATTGTGGTTATTATGCTAGTATTTATCTTGCCAATGGTAGATGTGGTTTAATGTTCTGGTATTTATTTAGCCAATGAAAATTATGGCTTGATGTTGATATTATTTTTGCCAATGTGCATGGCTTGATGTTGAAATCTCGAGGACGAGATTTATTTTAACAGAGGGTGAATGTGATACCCTGGAAATTTAAATACATGAATAAGATATTCATAATTATGAATATGTGGAGAAAATTGAAATAAATCGATTTATGGTTATAAAAATTTTATTGAGGAATTTTAAAATTTTGTTACCATAAATCATTATAATTTATGTTGTAAAATCTATCAATTAAGTGGAAATGACAGAAGTGCTCCTAGGCGGTTAAACGAAATCTTATGAGGACATATTCTATCTTCATATGTTTTGTCATGTTTCTAGGCATATTTGGAGAGAGTTTGATCTCACGAATGCGTAGGTGCAAACCGTTCATGAAACGGAGTTATAACGAATGAGTTATTAACGTTTAAAGTCAGGGACATATTGTAAATTTAACCCCTTTAGAAGGCTCTAGAAAATCTGGAGCACTTAGTTTCTGCCACGTGTGTGGCTGAGATGAGAAGAAAAGAAAAGAAAGGAAGGAAATCGGTGGCTATGATGGAAAAGAAAGGACAGAAAAGGGAGAGACGTACCAATGAAGGGGGAGAAGGGAAGGAAATGAGAAAAGAAGAGAGATGGGGGAACCAGACCTTCCTTCAACCTGCCAACTCGACCCGACCATTGTTTCCGATTCCCGCCACCGTTGATGACGGGAACGGTGCCAAAATAATCCTCCCTTCGACACCAATCGACCCATTCACCAATTTCATCCCAATTTTGATGGAAATATGCTTTTATTTAGTGAAACCCGCATCGGTGGGTGCGATGGGTCTGTGTCTGCGATCCCCCGTTTGTGAAGCCACCACCATGGTTAGACTCCTTGTGAATCCAGGAACATGTCCCAAGCCTTGGTTGGGGGCGGCAGGGCACCTGAGGTGACAAATTGAGTACACCCTAACTCAAGGGTTCCGACGGAATTGAGTGAAATCAGGGCTTTTCCCGGTCGAATTGGATTTCGGCTCAGGTATGAAAGTTGTTCCTCTCATTGAACTCTACCTTCCTGAAAAATTTGGTGATTTTTTAGAGTTGGTCGGAATTTGGGTTTTCCGTTCGCCGAAAACCGCCACCCACGGCGGCACGTGCATCGGCGCGTGGCCAGTGGGCTGATGCTGCCATCTTGTGCAAATTTTGATATTCTAAATATGAATTTGGTATCCAATTGGTGTGTTACAATTATTAAACCCAATGTTGGTTATTTTCATTACTTGAATGTCTTCGAAAATGGAGAATAGAATGAAAAGTGAACTACGAAAGGCTTGATCCCACTCAAGGGTACGTAAGTAGTCTAACAGTGTTAGATGCAGCCTTAGATAATCGAGATAAATCTTTTGTTGGGAATTTGAATTAAGAAAAGAAATTTGGTGATTCATTTGTAAAATTAAATCTTATGTTTTGGTATTTAAATCTAGGTTATAGTTTTTGTGAATGATTAAGAATTTAAATAAGAAATTGTGATTAACGGTAGTTAACTAAACAATAATTTAGTTTGGGCCTATCACCGATACTATTTCCCGAAAATAAATATTTTAGGACCAGGGCGTTACAGTTCTTGACAAACCACTTCTAGGATATAGTCTGACATATTACTGATGGATAGATTAATCCGACACACAGCCGACTAATTTAGTCAGTACTATCCGATGACTATTTATCCTATACGATTGAACTAGTTAGTACAGTCCGAACTACCAAATGAGGCCATATATTCTTGAAATATTCAACAGGTGGTCATCACCATGTTGAGTCCAATTATCGTTGGTTCCAATTCAAATTTCATTAAGTGGGTTTAAACGGTCACTTGTTTCAAAAATGATACTCTTACCACTTTTTTCATCTCATATTTGTATTATCTTTCTAATAAAGTTTGGCCTCACCTACTATTCGTTCAGATTATATGCCGAGTTGCGCCCATAGATCGTCAAGTCTATGTCCAACAATTATTGGGTTGGGTTCACATCATAGCGTATACTGGTTGGGCCTTCACCAAGTTATAACTTTTTTTCTTTTGAGTTCTACAATGTCTTCATATTGAGGAATGC